GAACCAGAATTGACACCATGGCAATTCCAAAAGATTCCAGTTTGAACTCACACCTCATGAGAAGCACCTCATGAGAAGGACCCAACAAACTGCTTAAAACAAAATCAGAGCTTTGAAAACCTTATGGAGCACAGTTCTATTATGACATACATAGATTTACTATGAGTCAAATTGACTTGATGAAAATGGTTTCATTTTTGGTTTTATTATTACTGTCATAAAATCCCTCAGACACCAGGTGCGGCACTGGACTGTGAACTTAAAGATCAGTAATTCAAACCCACCAGCTGCTCCTTGGAAACCCTATATAAGGTCATTATGAGTTGGGACCAACTCAGTCAAATGCACTTGATAACAACAACATTATAAAATACCCAGTGTTTTATGGCTTTCCCATCCAGTCAAGATTTAAGCCTCAGAAATCCTCTGCAGGGTCAACTATAAGAAATCAAACTCGATGACAGTGTGTTTTCTTAATTATTTATTTTTGGTATATGGTCCCAACATGTCTTTGGTACCTTGGAGCCAATTAGTATGTCTTTGTTGTTGTTGTTTGATGCCCATCAAGTCAGTTCCAACTTAGAGTGGCCCTAGTACAACAGAAAGCAATACTGAATTCTGTGTCATCCCCACAGTTTGAACCCATTGTATATTAATTATTTTTGTCGTTATGTGCTTTGGAGTCCGTTCCGACTCATAGCGACCGTGTACAGGGTTTCCGAGGCTGTAAATCTTTACGGGAGCAGAAAGCCTCATCTTTCTCCTGCAGAACAGCTGGTAGTTTCAAATGCAGACCTTGTGGTTTGCAGCCCGATTCGTAACCACTACTCTACCAGAGACCCCAAAATACCCAGTGTTTTTTAAGGTCCAGTGGTCTTCCCTCACTAAATCTGGAGTGACTTTCTAAAACTTTACTTGGGACCATGGATCCAGAGCTGGGACAGAGATTTAAGCTAGAGATTGCAGACCATAAGGAATTTACTTAATAGGTTGTGATTTGCAGCCCACCCAATGATTCAGATCCAATCAATGATTTTTCTCAAACTCTGCTATGGCAACCTACAACTTGATCAGAGACATATATATATGTATATATAATAGTACCATATTTATCTAAGTATTTAGTTGTTAGTATGTTTTTAGTATATTTCTTTCCAGGAATACCTCTTTCAAAAATACTTGCTTTCCTTTTATTTTAATTGTTTAGAAAGGATATGATATTTGTAAATTTCTCATTGAGGAGTGCTAATATGCTGGTTTTTTGAAGTTCCTGCAAGTCAAAATGTATTCCCGAGGAGAGAGAAACACTTATAAGAATTAATATGATGAAGGTATTAAAAACTGCTGAATATTATTTGGGGACTGTATTAGCTTTCTATGTTAATACATAAAAAATAAAGTGCTCTTTTATTCAATCCTCCTGTTGTCATTTTAAAGGAGGAAGATGAAGGCCCGGGCTCCACCTCCTCCTGGGAAGTCTGATAGTGTGGATATTCATGAGGAACGGAAACCTAGCAGTGATTCGGGCCTCAGCCCTCAGGAGAACCGTATTGACATGAAAGAAAGTCTGCAGAACAGTATGGTGGATATCACGGTAGTTCTTCCCGGTGGGCTGGAAAAGAAGAGTGTGGTCAATGGGAGGTAAGAAAGAAAATGGTTGTCAGGAACAGTCATTGTATTTTGATCAGAAGCCAAAGGAGAAAAACTGAAGAGTGGTTTCTGGTGTATTGTACTACCCTCTCTGTTAAGTTGTATCTCATGGGCCTTTCATGTAGAAATCTGGGCCTAGGTAGCAACGTAGGAAAGCTTGAAATGTCTCTCCTGAAATAACCATGTGCTATCAGGTCCAGCCAAGGCTGACAGTGATCCTTAGGATGAGAAGGGCACCACAGCTCCCTTCTTTTAGGTGTCAAGCTCATGAAAGAAGGCCAGGTTATGGACGTAAAGCAGGTGATCAACGTGGTTGGGTTTGAACCTGAAACTGGAATTTTCTGGTGTCTTTTCTAAAATCATACAGCCAGGATGATAGCTCCCTGATTTAGTCACTCAAATATCCAGCTATAAACTGACCTCTAGAGCATATATATACCTGCTAGTCAACTCTCAAATGAAAAGAATTTATGTTTAGATTAAGAAAAAAATCCAATCCATGACTTTCACATTGATTATAATGATGTCAGAATAATGTATAGGTAAAATTTGTGTATGGTGATCTAAAGGTATATACATATTATCCCTAGTTATGAAGGGATAAAAATATATTTAGTAAATAATTGTGTTAAACTGCTTTTAACAAAGACTTACATAAAAATAAATCTAGAGGTTGGTAGCCCAGCCTGCCAAAGGCAGGAATCCATACTTCATTGATTTCTGTTCCATTATCATCAGCCTTGGAGTCCTGGTGTGGCACTATGGGTTAATGCACTGGACTGCAAAGTCTGTTTGAACCTCATGGTCAGTGGTTCAAGCTTACCAGCCACTCCTCAGAAACCCTATACAGGGTCACTATAGGTTGGAATCGGATCAGTGGCCCTTAACAAATCTTCAGGCTTATAGCTGTGGTCCAGGATGGCTGCTGGAGGGTATAAGCTTCAGGGAAAGAGGTGAAAGGAGAAATGAAGATTAGTATCAGCTAATTATTTGTTTAAAATGCTTCCTCAAAGCCCCATCTACAACTTATACCGATATTTCTCTACCCACTCTGAACTGTGAAAATAGACAGGGTAAACTGTAAGTTGGGCATCGATTCAGGATTCTGTTAAGGACTGTATGTTTGGGATGGATGAATTAAACCACACATGGTGACTGGTAGGTTTATACAAATTAGAGCATCCACAGGAAGAAGAAAACACCACTGTTCTTTTAGGTTCTTCAGTGTGTAGACCTAATTTCTTGGTTTGTTTGTAGAAAAGCTCCTAATTCTTTTCTGAGTGTGATCTGTATCTTAAGGTAATAGACCCCCAAATTGCTGCAATGAGTAAAGTCATCTCTGAGCTAAATCAGTATCTTGAGGTAATAGACCCCAAAATTGCTGCAATGAGAAAAGGCATATCTAAGCTTAAAGGAAATTGTTTAAATAAAGAAAATTAGCTAAATTTTAATCATTTGTGTTTTCAAGCATTGATATTTGACTTCAGAATGTAGTGTATGCATAGTAGTTTTCACTAAAAATAATTATGCAATACAGTAACACCTATCCTCATTAGACATATTGCCAAAATGCAAAAAAAAAACAAAAGACAGAATTTATCATAAACCCTGCTTGTTACTGTTATTAGGTACCTATGAATTAGATCTGTCTCATAACAACCCTACATACAAGGGGATGAAGCATTGTCCAGTCCTGTGTCGTTCTCATGATCTTTCTTGTGTTTGAGCCTATTGTTCCAGCCACCGTGTCTATCCTCCTCATTGAGGGTCTTCTGTTTTTTCATGGACTGTCCACTGCCAAGCTTTATATCCTTATCCAGGGACTGGTCCCTGCCTGATAACATATCCAAGGATGTCAGATAAACACTTGCCATCCTTATCTAAGGAGCATTCTGGCTGTACTTCTTCCAATACAGATTCGTTTGTTATTTTGGCAGCCCATTGTATATTTAATTTTCTTCTCAACACCATAATTCAAAGGGATCATTTCTGCTTTGGTGTTCTTCCTTATTAACTGTCCAGTTTTTGCATGCATTTGAGACAATTGAGCATATCATGGCTTGAGTTAATTCACCTTAGTTCTCAAAGTGACAACTTTGCTCTTTGCAACCCGTTTGATTTCTTGACTGCTCCTTCCACAGACATTGATTTTGGAAACAAATAAAATGAAATCCTTCAGCTTTCCTTTTCCCACAATCCTTTACGCACTTCCTTTCCAACCTGGTCCCATCACTATGGCTTCCGCAAAGAAGTGTGGCGAGAAGAAGGGCTGTTCTGCTATCAATGAAGTGGTGACCAGAGAGTACACCATCAACATTCACAAGCACATCCATGGAGTAGGCTTCAAGAAGCGTGCCCCTCAAGTACTCAAGGTGATTCAGAAATTTGCCATGAAGGAAATGAATCTACCAGGTATGCGCATTGACACCAGGCTCAACAAAGCTGTCTGGGCCAAAGTAATCAGGAACGTTCCGAACCGTATCCGGGTACGGTTGTCCAGAAAACGTAATGAGAATGAAGGTTCCACCAAACAAGCTTTATACACTGGTGACCTATGTGCCAGTCACCACTTTCAAAAACCTACAGACAGTCATTGTGGATGATCAAAGAAATTTATAAGTATGCCTTAAAAAAAAAAAAAAAACAACTTCAGTATTTTCTCCATTTATTATGATGTTGCTTATTAGTCCAGTTGTGAGGATTTGTTTTGTTTGTGTTGAGGTATAATACATACTGAAGGTTGTGTTCGTTGATCTTCCTCAGTAAGTACTTCCAGTTTTCACATTCAATAATCAAGGTTGTATCATCGCATATTTCAAGTTTTAATGAGTCTTCTTCCAATCCTGATGCTGTTTTTTTTCTTTAGTCTAGCTACTTAGGTTATTTGCTCAGCATATAGATTGAATTGTTGTTGTTGTTGTTAAGAGCCACAAGTCAGTTCTGACTCATAGGGACTCTGTATAGGGTTTCCAAGTAGTGGCTGGTGAGCTTGAACTGCCAATCTTGCCGTTCAAATTGACTTTGCAGTCCAGCACATTAGCCCACAGTGCCACACCAGGACTCCTAGATTGAATAAATGCAGCAAAATGATACAACTCTGATGTACACCTTCTCTGATTTTAAAATAAGTAAGTATCCCCTTATTCAGTTCAAAATCCTGCCTCTTGGTCTGTGTACAGGTTCCACATGAGCACAGTTAAGTGTTTGGGAATCCCCATTCATCATTCCAAATCCTCTTCTGAATCAACTTGAATTTATGGCCACTTCCTTTTAATGTACTATTGCAATCATACATCTCTATCTGTGCTTATTCCCCAAAATATTGACCAAGTATAATGTGGAAATTATTGAAAAATATAAATAAAATCACACGCAGGTAAACTTTTGTTGAAGATAATTAAAAAGAGTTGCAAGAGTACATTGAGAGGAAGCTGCTAGAAATTCAAGCCAGATTCTGAAGAGGACAAACTCTGCCTTTAGGAGATCATTACTGATACCAATTCTGGTTTATTTTAGCTAGTCAACATTTACATGTTTCCTTTAGAATATAACAATTATAATGTACACAAAATAATTGTGTATATGTGTGTGTGTGTGTATGCATGGATGACAAAAATAAAAAGGATTTTAAATACACTCTTTTCCTACCATCCTGTTTCAAATATAGAATACCCAATCTTAGGTGACTTTATCTGGTCATATCACCATCTGTCCACCCCTAGAATTTGTGTTTATAATTCCCCTACTTTCCTATATAGAGTCCTGGTGTGGTGCTTATGGAGTCCTGATGTGGTGCTGTGGGTTAATGTGATGGATTGCAAGGGCTGTTTGAGCCACAAGGTCAGTGGTTCAAGCTCACCAGCCACTCCTTGGAAACCCTGTACAGAGTCAAAACCCACTTGGTGTCAGTTAACAACAACAACCTTCATATATAGTTTTTGGCACATATGCATGTAACATTAAATTATACCTTGCATGAAATTTATAGAGCTGTTTTTTTGTGTGATTCTTCTGAGAGTGGCTTCTTTTTAATCTCAGTGGTTTTTTAGCAGGAAATTTGCTAATTTTCGGGCATGTTTCAGTAGTTCTCGTTTTCTGCCTGGTATTACATGTGGTACGTCATGTATTCTTCATTGATACAATAATGACTTTTGAGATGGTTTCTAGTGTTTGGTTCTCCTAATGAGACCTGGTGTGGTGCTGTGGGCTAAGGACTGGACTGCAAGGTCAGTTTGAACCATGAGGTCAGCAGATCAAGCTCACCAGCTGCTCCTTGGAAACCTTATACAGAATTGCTATGAGTTAGAACCAACTTGAAGGCACTTAACAACAACAATAACAACAATGAGATCTGAGGAGTCTTGGTGTGGCACTGTAGGATAAGCTAGCCACAAGGTCAGTGGTTCAATCC